AAATTTGTCCACGTTGCTGACACAGCCTTGAAGTAGTATCAGGTCACAGACTGGCGGCTTAGACCCCAAGGCTGTCACACTCATACCTAGCTGTGGGTCTAGGACTCCAGAACTTCTGACCAACTCACTACAAACTGGACTTCTCATGATGTCCTCTTCAGATTTTATTAGTTCACCAGGGTCACACAAAACTCAGAGAAACACAATCCTTACATATAGTCATAAAGGAGCTCTTAAAGAATATAGAAAGGATCTCAAACACGGAAGTCTCTACCCTCTCAGCATGCAAAACAGTCTATGGTCACTTCCTGTAAGTCTCTGCATGTTCAGCTTCAAAAAGCTTTCCAAATTCTGTCCTTTGGGGTGTTTGTGTAGGCTTTATTGAATAGGCATGAGTTCTAATAAACTGGGCAGGGAACCCCAAGAACGGCCTGTCTGTTCAGATTCTTCTTGGCCTGTCTATGCAGCATTCCTCCCCCAGTGTATGGGGCAGGATCCTTCTAGAATAAGGGAGATCACATGATTTACCATGTAGGCATCTCTATATAGCTTCCTAAAGGCAAGGGGAGATTAGAGTTTCTAATGCCCACATCTGGAACAGGGATTATAAGCCAGTAACCAAACAGAAATATAGAACTGGGATGGTAGCTCAGTGGTAGAGTGCTTTGTCTGCTACGTTCAATGCTTAGTGAATGCACACACATACACACACACACATACATGTGCACTCTCATATACATGTTCCATTAAAAGGCCCATCCAAAAATGGGCAAATGATTTTTATTTAATATTTTTTAAAAAGAACAATATACACTTGTGGAACCTGAGCTTAGAAACAGACTAGATTATATCTTGTCCATTTCATGCTGGTGTAACAATATCACAGACTGGATGGACGATTTGCAAGCAAAGCTTTATTTGGCTCATGGTACTGGAGGCTGGGTTGTCCAAGGATGTGGTCTTTGTAGTGTATCATCTCATGATGGAAGGCAGAAGGGCAAGAGTGGGGGAGGGGCTGAACTTGCTTCTGTGATCAGTCCACTCTAGTCATTAGCCCATCCCAAAGGCGGCACCTTTCTGAGCAATCCACTCAGGCCTCACTTCCCAACACTGTTGCATTGAGGATTAATCTTTCAATACATTAAAAGCCCAACTGGTAACAGAAAGTAGTTGGGATAAGGCAATATGTCAATAGAAAAGCTTCTTAAACCTGATCCTGTTAATAGGCTGAAGGTGGGGGAGCCGATAAGGGAGAAAGTTGGGGATCAGAAGGACAATGGATACAGCAAAAGAAAAACAAAGGGCAATGTGATCAAAAGCACAGGTGTGTGGATGAGTTGATGGTCTGCAGAGAGAAGCTTCTGTCATTCTGAAACTATGGGAAAGGGAAAGAGGATGGGTATACATGGATGATTTCTATTACCGTTAATGCTTAGGATAAAGATTTCCAAACTGAAAACCATGAGCTGTGTTGTGAAAACTATGAGTCCTTTATTTTTACCACAGCAGTCTCAGATGAGACTCTTCAAATGCTAGTTGTCTTAGGGTTTCCATTGCTGTGAAGAGATACTGTGACTTCAGTAACTCTTGTAAGGAAAACATTTCATTGGGGCTGGCTTACAGTTCGGAGGTTCAACCCATTATCATCATGGTGGGGAGCATGGCAGCATGCAGGCAGACATGGTGCTGGGTGCTGGATAAATCTTGATCAGAAGGCAACCGGAAGTAGATTATGACACTGGGCAGTATCTTGAGCATCAAAGCCAGCCCCACAGTGACACACTTCCTCCAGCAAGGCCACACCTACTTCAACAAGGCCACACCTCCTAATAGTGCCACTCCTTATGAGATTATGGGGTCCAATTACATTCAAACTACATAGCAGTCCTAATAGCAACAAAGCTTCTTTGGCAAATGGGTGTAAAGGGATTGTTGTATTGAGGATATAGGCACCTATTCCTGCACACATGTTTATTGTGGTACTGTTCACAGAAATCAAGATATGAAATCAGCTTTGGTGCCTGTCTTATGGTTTCTATTGCTGTGGTGAATTACCATGACCAAAACCAAGTTGGGGAGGAAAGGGTTTATTTGGCTTACACTTCCAGGTGACAGTCCATCATTGAAGGAAGCCACGACAGGAGCTCAAACAGGGCAGGAACCTGGAGGCAGGAGCTGATGGAGAGGCCATGGAGTAGCACTGTTTACTGACTAGCTCCCCTTGGCTTGCTCGGGCTGCTTTCTAATAGAACTCAGGACCACCAGCCCAGGGATGGCACCGCCCATCATGGGCTGGGCCCTCCCCCATCAATCACTAATGAAGAAAATGCCTTACAGCTAGATCTCACAGAGGCATTTTCGCAATTGAGGTTCCCTCCTTTCAAACAACTCTAGCTTGTGTCAAGTTGACATAAGACTAGCAGGCACAGTGTCCATCAACAGAACAGAGGAATGGAAAGGAAAATATGATTCATATATATATATATGTATATATATGTGTGTGTGTGTGTGTGTGTGTGTGTGTGTGTGTGTTCTATTTAATAATAAAAAACTAAATCATGTCATTTTTCAGGTAGATGAGAGTAGAACTAGATATCATCGTGTTGAGTGAAATAACCAGACTCAGAAAAACAAAAACAAGTATTATGTTTTCTCTCATACATGGAATCTAGCTAGATTCTTTTGGAAAAACAAAACCCTGAAAGTAGAAGAGTGAGTATTTGGGAAGAGGGAGGGTGTGAGCAGAGAGCAACGGGATGAAATAATCAAAGCAAATTATATATACTGTAAAAATGCCAGAATGAAACCCACTTGTGGGGTGTTGAAATAGTGTTGTGTAGCTCAGGCTGGGCTCAAATTCACCAGTATTTTAGAATGACTTAGAATGATAAGCACGCTCCACCACACCCAGATGAAACCCAAGGTGTCAGGTACTGAATTGCTAAGCTGAGATATTAAAAGCAGAACTGAAGCTCTCTGCAGTGTTTGGAGATGGGGTTTCTATCGCTGTGAAGAGACACCACGACTACAGCAACTCTTATAAAGGAAAACATTTGATTTAGGTGGTGGCTCACAGTTCAGAGGTTCAGACCATTATCATCATGGTGGGGAGCATGGCAGCACACAGGCAGACATGGTGCTGGGTGCTGGATAAATCTTGATCAGAAGGCAACCGGAAGTAGATTATGACACTGGGCAGTATCTTCAGCATAGGAAACCTCAAAGCCTGTCCCTACAGTGACACACTTCCTCCATCAAGGCCACACCTACTCCCACAAAGCCACACCTCCTAATAGTGCCACTCCCTGAGTTTATGGGGGCCAATTGTATTCAAACTACCACAGAGGTTTAGGGAAGTGATTATGATTGCATTGGGTATTAGGGTGAAACCCTCATGGTTGATCTTACAGCTCCTTGGCAGGAGTACTCGCCTTTTGTTTCTTGTTTGTTCAATGAATGGCATATTGCAGATGCACAATACATACTTTTGAATGAAAGAATGAATTAACCAAAACCAACAAACACTTATATGGGGACATTATAACAGCCTCCTCTTCCATATAAGCCCATCAAATCGCCTAGGAATAGAACACTAAAGACAGTTCTGTGGCCCCTGTCTGAAACTGTTGGTCTGAAAGCACAGTCTGCTCTTCAATGTTACGTTTCATGAGAAAAAGACAGTGGCTCATGTTAGCTCTAATTTTGTAGCTCTGGGTAGTGATGCCTAGCTGCCTCTCAGTTCCCTGTAGCAGTTTGGGTTCTGCTATCAGAACACCCGGATTTCAATCTCGCCTCCATCGCACAGTAACTGTCACTTGAGGCAAGGTGTTTAAGCTCTGTGCCTCAGTACAATTCCTCCACAGCAAGATGTCTTAACCCTGTGCCTGTACTCATGCCTGCAACCCCAGCACTCTGGGAGGCTAAGGCAGGAGGACTGTCTGGCTGCATGGTGTTTGAGGCCAACTGAAGCTATATAGTCAGTTACAGTGCAGCTGTAGCTACACAGTGAGTGACATTTAAGGTATTTAAAATTGCATCTTTGCACTTGGCATTTTTTTATCAGTTAGGTGATAATAATATATACAACTATATTTACATAAATCCTATGTAAAGGACAAAGTATCCCCCACAAAGCCTGAAAAGTGGGGGTGGGGGTAGGAGACTACCAGATACTCAAAAATAACGTGAATTGTATTTGATAGACACAAAGTGAATGTACAAGAAAATGAAAGTGTCTTTAAAATGTAATTTAGATAAGAGAGGTCTGGGGATATGTACATGTCGTCTGTTATTTTCCTATAGTTGCTAGATGCTTTGTGACTTGGTCTTTTTCTTGCCCTCTTCAAAGCATGGAGTTTGTTGCAATGCGTGTTATAGTTCTCAGTAACACTGGCAGCCTGACAAGCTGGATGTTTGGCTAGTCTGAGGGCTGAGGTTGCTGCAACAAAAAGTGGGTTACATGACGGTACAGCTCTGCTGCTAGAGATGGAGGACCAATAGCCTCCAACCAAGCACACCGAGCGAGTTGGAACAGCCAAGGTCTTTGTGAAGGTTCCTCTGGCTACTACTGATCCCAGTGGCTACCTGAGGGTAAGTGCCCCACGGTGCGCCTGGAGACCTGGGCGGTGCGCTGACATGGCCAGATGGGTGAGTTTTTCCCAGCCCGAGCAGGTGCTGTTGGCAGCATCCACACGTACCCCCCTTTGCCCTGGGTGACGGCCGGTGGGAGCGTCGCCACAGCCCCTGCAGCGCAGACCCGAGCCAGCTCCGGGGCGCGCTGACCTTGTCGCGCGGGTGGCCGGGCTGGCGCAGTCCCCGCGCCGCAGTGCCGGCTGCTCGTGCGGGCGCCCCCTGGCACCGCGACCGCCGCCGCGCGCCCCTGCTCCCACCGCGCGCCACGCCCGCGACCAGCGGAGCAGCGCGTCCCGCGCCTGAGGCTCGGGAGGGTGGGGCGGCGCGCGCCCACGGGCCGGCCGAGGGCGCCTGGCGCGGGTGCACGCGCAGCGGGTGGGCGTGCTCCGGGTGCGCGCGCCGCCGCCTCAGCCTGTCGCGCCGCCCGCGCCGCCCGCTCCCGGTGCTCGGCCCAGCACGTCGGCTCCGGAGCGGCCGTGGGCAGCGCGGGCCCGCGGCATTAGAGTCCGCCGGCCTCGGACCCGCGTCCCGCACGCGGACTGTCCCGGTAAGCGAGGGCGGGGGCGGTGGGACCCGGCCGTCACCCTGAGGGGCGGGTCTGAGGTCCCGGACAGTCCTCCCGGACTTGGATACTGGTGTGGGAGCCGCCCCCAGGGTGCAAATGGATGCACCCCAGTGATCGCCGCCTCTACCCCTGAGGGAGTCCGTGGGGCTGCGTGAAGGGAGCCGCCCAGGGCGTCCGGCACTTTCCGCCTTGCACAGCCCTAGTGTGGAGGGCATCCTCCCCAGGCCCCCAGGGAGGCCTTCTGTGTAACTAGAGTGGCATCAAGGTAGTCTCTGGACTTGGCTCCAAGGGAGACCATCTGGGAACCCCAAGGACCTTCCCGGTGGTCTTGGTGAATGCCAGGTGATCTCAGCCTATGCCCCAGAGATGCCCAGAAGGAACCCTTGCCTGGAAAAATTGGGTCCATTTGTGGCATCATAGCTCCAAGGACTTTGGTACTGACCTCCTATGGGGCTCACTTGTACCCCTCAATGTAGTGGAAAGGAGTGGGCACTCTATGGGGCTGTGGTCTTTGTTCATTCCAATTCCCACCCTGCCCCCATTAGAATTTCTCTTCTGTACGATAGACCGATTGGCTTCAAGCTGGACTTTAGGGGAGATGGAAACTGCTTCTAAGAGCACAGGGCCCAAGAGGTACCAGGACCAGGGAGGCCTCCAAATCAAAGAGAGGAAACTCAAGCTCTTGAGCTTGACTATCCAGGGCAGTAAGACCAAGTTTCTGGAGGAAGGGATAAGGGAAAGGAGAGGATTTTTGAGCACCCCTGTGCCAGGCACTGTGCTAAGTGTTTAAACATCTTATGTAATACTTAACAACAGCTTCATAAAATTACCCCATTTAAACATTAGATATTTGTGACACAGGCTTAGCACATTGCTCAAGATCACAAATGTTAGAATGGTGAAGTCTGTTCTTCAAATTTAACTCAGAGAAAAGTATCAAAAAAGGGCAGAAGAGTGGATGTCTGTCACTAAGTTGTGTTGAAGTGCCAAGCATGGAGCTTTGCAGCTGCATCCATCCGCTCAGCAAATGCAACGCTTAAACAGATGAGGACAGTGTAACTGAACTTGGGACCAAGGGAGCAGCTACCCAGTGAATCCCCAGATTGTCAGGAGTCTCCTAGGGCCCTCCTCCCCCTTGCAGGATCTTGGGGGCAAAGAAGGGGAGACACTGTCACTTCTGAGCATCATCCACACTTCCCTTGTGGCCCTTTATGTGCACCAGTGGACACTGATCCATAAATACCACTCAGGACACTTTGCCGAACAGTGGTGTATGAGAGAACCAGGAGAGTGGCAAAGAGAGAGCCAAGAAAGGCATGTTGGTAATCTGCAGTCTGGGAGAGAAAGCTGGAACCTGATGTAGCAATGGTCCTGGTCTCACCCCTCAACACTATCATTGCAGCTGAGCCCTAAGGGTTTAACTTTGGGCCCAAAGATAGATTCTGGCTTCTTATCCAAAAGTGGAGTGGTGCCAGGGCCAAGCAACGGAATTTACCTCAGAACCATTCTGGAATGTTCCAGTTCCTCTTGGTCATCCTGCACAGCCAAACCTAGTAGCATCCTCCTTTAATAAAGCTAGCCTCCCAGAGCTGGGCTCCAGCAAGAAATGCCAGATCAGAGCAAAGGTCCATCAGCCTTGGTCCTGGTTTCCTTTGAAAACATACATACCTACTTTGAGACTGAGGCAGGGGGATTGCCACAAATTGAATGCCTGCCTGGGCTATAAGGAAAACTGTCTTGGAAAACCAAAACCAAATAAACAAGCAAGAAAAAATGGTTTTTTTCTGCACTGGTTGTGGTAACATACGCCTATTATCCTGACACTTGGGAGTTAGAGGCAGGAGAATCTCAAGTTCAAGGCCAGCCTGAGCTACATAGCAAGTTCTGAGTCCTGTCTTAAAAACAAACGATGATAAAGAAAAAGAAAAGAAAGAAGGCTTCTCTGGGCTTCTGAAGTTACATAGTGAGAAGAGAGACCAAGCTAGTGAGGAAACCACATAATCTAATTTACCAGTTGTTAGCTGGGCTTTCTTTTCCTTAAGGACTTGGCCCCTTTAAGGAAGTAATGGTTGTGGTACCTCATGCATTGCTCAACAAACAAATTTCAGTAGAGGTTCATGTTGGTTGGCATCTCTCTGTTATAAAGTTATTTATAATTCCCTTTCAGCTTAAACCCCTCTCATTAGTTCAACTTCCACAATAAACACATATTTTAAGAGAAAACTGAGACCAAGCCTGCAAATATGGTGAGTTTGTCCTAATTCAGATAGTTCTTTGTTTGTTTGTTTTTGTTTTGTTTTTCAAGACAAGGTTTCTCTGTGTAGCCCTGGCTGGCCTGGAACTTGCTCTGTAGACCAGGCTGGCCTCAAACTTAGAAATCCACCTGCCTCTGCCTCCTGAGTGCTGGCACAAAAGGCTCTCAGATATTTCTTGTTGAAGTGTTGTTATTATATTATTGTTGTTGTTACTAAACTGATCTTTTCAAGGGCTTTGAGCATCACACTCCCTGGTAACCTTGTGCTCCCCAATTCTTGGATTCTCAGTACCATCTCCTGATGTCTAGTATTGAGTAAACATTACATTTCAAAACTTGTCAGAATAGTGCCTAAGCACATCCTGAGTCAGAATGTGTATGACGGGTGTCACCAGGCAGTCTTAATCTTCTCAAAAATGCCTCAAAGGAAAATAAAGGAGAATGCCCCTTTCCTGCCTGAGTAAACACAAATTGGTGTTGATGTCTCAGCCTTGACTTCTCTGACCACATTCTAACTGCTTTTTTTTTCCCAGAATTACCCATGTATTTTCTAAGTGCTTCCTTTTCTTGGAACATGGATAATAAAACCTCCCCACGTCCATTTCCCATACTCCTTGTTTTCTCCCAGTACACCTGTTCCTAAGTGGCTCATATGTATGCCATCTCTTCAGCTATAGTATCCATTACCTTTCAGTCCCACGTGCCTCTCTAGCAATGCATCTTCGTTCCCTAAATTTACTTATTCATATCTGATGGAAACATCATTATCTACTCAATCCTTCGATCTTAATGACTAAGTTCTGATTGGACTTGCTCTATCAACTTTGGACCAAGAAGCTTGAGCCTTCAGAGTCCACCTGGAGACATGATTGTTGGTTTCATTATAGCATCTCTCAAGTCTCCACCCACCTTCCAGCCACCTTCCCTCAGAGGTCTGCACACCTCCTAAGTGCTGCTGACTTGCCATCCCTATGCTGTATAAATAGGAAACGTCTTGTCCTTGAGGAGTTTGCATAGGATCAGTCTGCATTCCTTCACTTGTTTACTAATAATATAAAGTGCAGGAAAAGTATTAGGGAAAATACGGGCTATGTATGGCAGTCAGTATAGAGTATGTCATTTTCCCAGGTGTCACTAACTGCTCAGATGTGTTTCTACAAGCAGCCACATTCCAAACACACACACACACACACACACACACACACACACACACACACACCATGCCTTTTGTTTTGAGGGAACTGGTCACACGTGCTCTTGTCTTCCTATGCTAATCATATATTTGGATAGCATATTACAAGTTCCAAGGCCTTTATGATTTCTGTTTGATTTTGAAAACATTTTCTGTTAACTATGGTCTTCTCACTGGAACATTAAGTGGATTAATGGCTCATCCTCTTTTTCTTGTTTGTGTTTGCTTTTAAACTTATGTCTCCCATAGACAAGGCCCCAGTGATTACTACAATTGCTACCTGCCAGATCTTAAGTTGAGGGAAAGTGCTTCATGTTGCAAAGCTTGGAAGAAAAGGTCACATGGTGCACTCACTGCTCAGCCCTGGGGTTTATTAGGACTGCCTCTCATCATCCTGGCCCAGCTCCCTCCCTCACTCTCCCCCTTCCCTGAATTCAAATGAATATTCTCTTTTAAACAAATATTTTAAGCATACTACATCAAACCATTTCTTTGAGCTGATGCTAATTCATATGTGAATACAGATTTCCTTGCCTATTTCTATCCAGCACCCAAGCTGGCTTCATAGCTCTAAGTCATGATGGAGTCCCCATATAGCTCCATGCTTGGCATGTGTTTTTACCTCTTCCTGGAATGCTTTTTTTTTTTTTTTTTCTCATCCACTGGGTTAACTCCCACTCATCTTCAAAATTTAGCTCCAGCAACACCTTTTTTTTTTAATCCTACACGTATGCCCCCTACACATGCACATACTCTCTACATCCTCACAGGCTGAGATCCCATTTGCTCATCCTACCAACAGCTATTAGCACTTGATTGTGCCTAACACATAGTAGGCTGCACACACACACACACACACACACACACGCGCGCGCGTGCGCGTTTATAGACTCAATAAGCAAGTGAATGGTAATGATTAAAGTGTAATAACTGCATAAGTAGAGCTGAATCTGTGCTCTAAGAGCAGAAAACAGGGAGTGCCTCTCCATCTTGCTGGAAAAATTCACTTGCTGAGTGCAATCCCAGCAGCCAATCACTGCCGATGTGATGATGTTCCTTAACTGTTGCTCTGCTTCTGTGGGAAGTCAGAGCTGTAGCTTTTAATGAAGACAGCCCAATCCCCCAGAGGCTAAAGATCATGCCATCATTTTGTTCCCGTGTATATTAAAGCTTTGTGAGCTTTCAGTAAATATTAAGCAGCAGCAGGATGTCCCTCCTGCCTCGTTGCCTTGAGCTGAGGCCAGGAAGACAGTTTTACTCAGCCTTTAGCCTGTCTGCTTCTTAGAAAGTCCTGAAAATCCACAGTTTGGGTGACTGTGTCTTCCCAAATAAGCAGAAGTGGATGGAAGGGAGGGAGACCTTAAGGTCTACAGACATGAGAACTGAAACCAGTCGGTAGGTTACTGCAAGGCGACGGACAACTACAAACGGACTCCAAGGATACTGAATTGAGAGACTGGATTCCTAAAGCAACAGGCAGAGAACAACTAGACCGCTTGGGGCTTGGGTTGCCCCAAAGACCTACACAGGGTAAGG